TAGTACTAAATGCACCCAATGGCTGCGTTCAGCAGACTCAACAGTTTTGCAACCGTTTTATGATTGTCTGCTGAGATAGGACCATTCTTCTAGATCTAAAAGTATGATCCAATTAGCGCGAAGGAAACTTACAACAGTTGCAAAACAAACGTTCTGCTGAACGCACCCAATGTCCAGCTTGATAGTCATCGTGTTTTTCTTCATAGCTTTTGAAAGTAGATTGTAAACAGATTGTAAGCTAGAGAGTATCAGTAAACGTTTTTTTTTTTAATCTAAAAAGAAACTACTAATCAATTCTCACTTAACATACCTCGAAGGGTTTATATTTCCTTTATGATTAAATTGCAATTGTTTAACAATTACAGTGATTATTTTATTATATATAACAGTGAAATTGCTACCAAAATCTGGTAATTATATAGTTTATCACTGACTACCTCAAAAATCAATAAAATTAGGCTTATTCGACGCGTTTTTGCACGAAATGAAAAAATCTGACAGAAATAAGCTCTGCCCTGGGAATCGAGATATTTAGCATTAAAGTTGACTACTATTGAGGTTAGGAAACTGTCACAGCCGCAAAATACTGCGACACGAGCATGCGTGTTGTCACAAATTCGCTACTTTAAAACAAATTCTCTGCATTAAAAACAAATTCACTACTTCAAAAACAAATTCACTACTTTATAAACAAATTCATTGATTTAAAAAGACAAATTTACTACTTTAGAAACAAAAATTATTTTCTTATATTATTTTTGTGTTTTGAAAGCAGTAAATTTGTTTTTAAAGTAATGAATTTGTGTTTTAGAGCATAGAATCTGTTTTAAAGTAGTGAATTTGTGTTTTAGACCAGAGAATTTGTCTTAAAGTCGTGAATTTGTGTTTTAGAACAGAGAACTTGTTTTAAAGTAGCGAATTTATGACCGCAGCGCATGCTTGCATCGCAGTATTTCGTGGCTGACAGATTTCCTAACCTCAATCATCGTTAACTTTAATGCTTAATATATCAGTTCGCGTGGCAGAGCGATGCTTATTTCTGTCAAATTCTTTCATTTCATGCAAAAACGCGTCGAATGAGCCTAATTTTATTGATTTTTGAGGTGGTCAGTGGTAAACTGTATAATTATCTATGTATTAAAAATCTACATCGAATATCCAGCTCACAACTCCTCTCTGTTACTTATTAGAATTTTAAGTTTATTATAATGATTTTTACATGTAATGTTGATTATTAAATGATGTAACTTTAAATCCAACATCTTACTTTAACATTACAAAAAAATAATGGAAAAATGAAATGAATCATTTACTTTCTAAATAATGCTAATGGTAACGCATTACATTTTACAAAAAGTAACAGTGATGGTAACGCGCGTTATTTTTATGAAGTAACGTTCCCAATCCTGAATATGTACTAATAACGCTATGTGCGAATATGTTATATACGTAACATTCTCTTGTAATTTGTAATATTTACCTAACAAGATTACCTAACAAGGGAACGATGCGAGGTGTTTTTCCTTGATTGCTCTGAATTTTTACCAGTAGGTCGGGCATCGAAAAAAAATCGACACGTATTTTGCCGTTTGCTCAGACACTCGATAGTTTAAGAAATATTAAATTATGAAACTGATCAGACACTCTTAGAAACTTTAGAGCGCCGGTTCAAATCTCAGTAGTGACAATTTTTTTTACTTTTACATTTTTTTAAATTTTACCTATATAAAAAATACATCTTTCACTTCATTTTTAATCAGAAAAACACAAAGAATTCATTTTGAAGGACTTTTCATCCAAAAACAACTTATATATTTATTCTATCAATGTGTCACTTTCTAAATATTTCTAAATTGTTCTAAAATGTTTATAATTATTTTTAAACTTTCTAAATGCTTATTATAAAACATGCTAATATTTAAAAAAAATTGTCGCTACTGACATTTGAATCAACGATCTAGAGTTTTAAGAGTGAGTTCAACCAATTTTATAGCTCAATATGTCTCAAACTATTGAGTGTCTCAGCAAACGGCAAAATACATGTCGATTTTTTTTCGATGCTCAACCTACTGGCAAAAATTCAGAGAATCGAGGAAAAACACCTTGCGTCATTCTCTTGTAAATAATTTTTGTGCATATATTGTATATATTGTATGATTTTTTGTAATATTTTTTTTAGAATCATTAAGACGAATATTTTGTTTCTAGGAATTATTCAGCTAAACAATTATCAGGAAAATGGCTCAAGCACAAAGTGCAGAAGTCATTGAATTGATGTCAGATGAAGACGAGAAAAAGACAAGAAAAACCAAATCTAAAGGGTACAATAGTAATTGTGTTAATTTTAAATGTTGCTCTGGGATAAATATGAAGGTGGCACCTTCCTTTGCGTGCGCATTCTATGGGGTTTCACTCGAGAAGAAAAAGAAACGTATAATATGTAAAGAATGTTTTGATGCTGCGTTACAACATCAGAAGGTAATTTTTGTTTTAACATTCACTGTGTTAATAAAAAAATAAAACAAGTAAAAAAATTAGCTTAAATTTAAAATTAAATACAATGTAAAAGGCTCCAACAAATAAAATTCAAAATATCAATATATAAAAAGGCTAAGGAACCAAGCTTGTTATTCTTGCTATACAATATTTATATGTTTATTATAGAATAACAATTATAAATACGTCTTCAGTGTAATAAAATTATAGCTATCGGTTTACATTTCAAATTTTTGTATCAAGACTGAGATCAAATTAATGCCTGGTTTATGCTTCGGTCTTAACTCTAAAATCCTAAAATTCAGCCAATAGAGCTGCCAGTTTTAACTGGTTCTAACTGAAATCTGTATTCCATTGGCTAAATTTTAGGATTTTAGGATTAAGACCGAAGCATAAACCAGGCATAAGAATCTTATACTCAAACGCAAACAATTATCATAAAGCGATTTTTCTATAAAGACCTTGTATTTAGCAGCAAATATCGGTGCCGGTGCAATATTAGTTATAATGTATCAAATGTAGAGAATAAACATCCCAACTCCTTAGATCTTTGTTCTATGATATGAATTAGTTTTCTAGAATTTTTGTATAAGCAAGCCTCTTAAAAAAGAGGCTATTAATACATTTCGGTGGAAACACGACACATTTGTAGCCCATTTGCTTATATGGAAAAGTGTCACAATTCTGATAAGGTGTGAAATTACTCTAAGAACATTGCAGTATTTGAATTATAGCAGTTTTAAAAAATACATTATAATTGGAAGTGTAATATGGAAAAAAAGTGTTGAAGTTATAGAAATTGTGCATATTCACTATCCTAACTGAAGACATTCTAATTTAGAATTTAAAAAATATTTTATCAAAAAGTTGCTAACTTTTAAATGTGTCACTTTTCTTATCAATATGCAGCGATATAGTATGAGAATAAATTAAATGTTAATATAATACATTAATTGTAAGATATATCGAATGATAATTATTACCTTGTTTATAGCAATTAGTACAAGCCTTTGTAGAAAATAGATCACTATTAGATTGTTACTTTCCGGATCATACGATGGAAGTAGAAATTTCTGATAGCGATGATTCCGACGATGAGAAGAAAAAGGAGCCAGAGAGAGATAACAACGGTACATTCAGCGTCTTCAATTATTCTTAATATTTATGGCATCAAAAAAAAAAAGAAAAACCAAGAATCTGATTTTACAATTATCAAAAATACATAAAATAACCAATGTTTTTATCATTTTTTGCAGAATACATCCCGGAAGATGTACTTTTAGATATCAAGGATAAATTAAATGATACATTGTCACATATTTACAAAAAGTACAATGTGGAGCAGCATGCTAAAGTTGCATGTGAAACCTTGAAACAGAGATGGCGAGACATATGCGGTAAAACGAGTTTCCAATTATTAACTAGAGATGAGAGCATCCCAGATAGCAAAGCGTGTCTCAGCAAAATCACGCAAATCTGTAATTGCTGGCAACTTGCTATAGATTTGTCTTCAACGATTTCGAATATACTGACATTGTAGCAACATGCAGACAACAATGTGTATATGTATTGTCAGCAGTTTAACAGCTGCGTCAATGTTATCTTGCGTCGTCTGTAATATGACAGCATTGTATGATGCTGCATATTATTATGGCAACATGATGGCAATAGTACGAATTTTGATGATGACGATTTTAAAGTTGTCGGCAAATTATTGGCAAGTTGCTACTCAATGTTATCATATCATGAAGGCATCAAGTTGCCAACAAATGAGGACTCAGTTGCTGCAATTCTGGTAGCAACACATACTTAGCAAGCAACAAGACAGACACGTTGCTATCTGAAATGAGATGCATGTAAAAGTATAAACTTTTTATCTATCCTTTTATTTAGATATAAGACTTACTTTATATCGTATTATGCATTGACAGCGGCAAATGATTCTCTCAATACCGAAATACGGGAAATAATGCGCACTGTGGATAAATTGCGTAACAACTTATACGAGGATTTTAGACCGCAAATTAAAATGCTCGAGGAATTGCAAATAAACGACGAAATTACGGAGACTGCCCATCCGCTTGTAGCAACGAAGAAAGTAACGCAAGTACGTGTTCCACCTTCCTCGCTGTTGCAAGATAATCAGCTAGAAGTTTTAGCGATTGAACCATCGGGTACTAAGGAAATAATAATTCCTAATTTACCACCGACTGGTCCACTCCTTAAACGTTCTCCGGAGGTAGATGATATCGTTTATATTATGAAAAATCCAGTTATGCCATGGATTAAAGCAAAGGTTTGTAGAATCTTCATCCATCTATATTGTATATCTATATTGTATCTTATCATACAAAACATATTTTCTTCGCTTGTATTTTGATTAAAGAGGAGAAGAAGAAATCGAACAAGATTCTAATACAAGGATCTTTCTGTAGGTACTAAATATAGTTTCATCAAATCCATGGAACATTCGCGTGAGACTTATTCAGAAAAAGTATAATGCAGCGATCAAGGCTGTCTCTGGCAAACTGCTAGCGACAACCGAACTGAGTAAAGTTATGATTCCAGTTGGAACGCGAGTTGTGGCAATATTTCATGATGTTGTTTCCAATAATTACTACAGCGGAATAATTGCTGAGACACCAAAATCTATAAATAAGTATAGGTGAGTGGTTTCCTTAAACGATTTATCTATAGGAAATAATGATAGTAAGGTATACAAATTTTTCCATGTGAGAATTATGCAAATTATATATTATTGTAATATTAAATTATTTAATATCATGTTTTATATATATATATAAAGTACTTATTATTTATTATAGATATCTTGTATTTTTTGACGATGGTTATGCTCAGTATGTCGTACATAATGACATCTTATTAGTTTGGGAGACCTCGCCGCGCATTTGGGAGGATATTCCTAGTGAATCGCGAGAGTTTGTAAAGAAATACCTGGAATCATATCCTGAAAGACCAATGGTGAAATTGCAACCTGGTCAAATAGTTAAGACTGAATGGAATGGTAAATGGTGGCTTGCGAGAGTCGTACAGGTCGATGCAAGTTTAGTGCAAATGCATTTTGACGCCGATAAGAGAACTGAATGGATTTATCGTGGATCGACTAGATTGGGTCCTTTATTTCTCGAGGTACGGAAGGCCAACGCGAGGCAACAACTTCAACAGTCTGGCAATGCACATACTCGACATCGTATTCCTGCTCCGTCCAACGTAAGTGAATAAAACTTTGGAAAATATAGTTTAAATATGAATTTTAACAGTTTTGATTGATAATATTAAAATAGTTTATATCCTCTGTTTACGACTTGTAATTTCCGTAGAAAAATAATTTACCTTACGTTGAATATACATCCAACGTGGAAGAGGATGTTACACATTTGCAAACGGAGAAAGCAACAGTTGCTACAAATGTGGCATCTACTACACCATCCACTGCACTGCAACAGCCGCGTGCAGTAGCTAAAAAAAGTACTGCTAAAAGGCAAAATAATATAGATACTACAACGTACAATTCAACCGTTGAAACGAAACCGTCACATAGTATCGTTGTGAGTAAATTATATTAATTAAAGGAATCGTAAACGTATCATTTCAGTGGGGGAGAGGCAAAAATTTAATTTCACACAAAACTCACATATTAAAATAGTTGTTATATATTAAAGTTAGCCTTGGAGAATCTCGCCAACTTACAAATAATATATAAACCACAAATATAAACCACAAATTCGATAATAATCGTTTAATCTTTTATTGTAAAAATGTTCATAAATAAGCCATTATCTAAGCTGTAAGTCTTAAGGAGATCCTAAACTTGATGAAAAAACGGTATTTCTTTTCAAAGGGGTGTTTCACCCCTTAAACATGAGTTAGCGCACATATAAAAAAATACGTATCTCTTAGATTTTCGTGTTTTACAACATATTTCATGGGGAATCAAATCGGTTCCAGACAATTGTGCAACTTCCCTTGTAAGAAAAATTTTTGCCAGAAAAATTATACAATTGCGCTCTCTTTCTTTCTCTCCCCCCCCTCTCTCTCTCTCTCTCTCTCTCACAACATATAATTAATCAACATGATATTAATTTTGTATGCTGTTAATGTTTTTAGTTTTATCATACGCAGAGAAAATACGAGCCGAAAAAGTACGTTGCTCACAAATGTGGGCCAAAATGTATTAAGAGCATCAAAATTTCACATGACGATTTAAAAGGGCTTTCTCCACTATCTATTCCACTTTTGTGCGGCTGGCATCGTCAACTTTGCAAATTCTCCAAGGGCAAGAAAGTTATGTTATACCAGACCCCGTGCGGCGCTAGATTGCGAAATATGGAAGAGTTACATCGTTATCTCCGCATTACCAATAGTACATTATCCGTCGATCTGTTTGATTTTGATTATTGGGTGCGCGCTTTCGCCGATTTTGTTGTAGAAAAGTGCTTCATCAACATCAAGGTAAGTCATCAAAATCAAAATATGAAAACTTATCTAACGACATATTTGATAAATTGATGTGAAAAAAAATACTATAATAATGTTTCGCAGATATATATATATATATTATTATATATATATACACTAGAATATTCATATATTGTGATATATATTAAAATTATATAGATATTAAAAATGTGAAAATGATTGTGATTTTATATTTAAAAGGATCTCAGTTATGGCGTGGAAAATGTGCCAATACCATGTGTAAATGACTTGGATCACACTCAGCCGGATACTATAAGATACACTACACGTCGGGAGCCAACGGAAGGTGTTTATCTAAATCTAGATTCTGCATTCTTATGTAGCTGCGATTGCGAAGACGATTGTCAGGTATAAAATCGTACAGCTGCCGCGCATAATAACGTGAATTTACGCATTATTTTGCTTTACTGTGATACTGTGTGTACACGTAGGATAAAGAGAAATGCCAATGCTGGCAGCTAACGATACAAGGGGCAACTTTGGGAGGAAAAATGCCAAATAGCGCTGTTGGTTATATCTATAAACGCTTGCCAGAACCGGTGACCACAGGAATTTACGAATGTAACTCGGGATGCAAGTGTTCCGTAAAAACGTGTCTCAACAGAGTGGTACAGCATCCGCTCAGATTAAAATTGCAAGTGTTTAAAACAGGGCCGCGTGGTTGGGGCATAAGGTGCCTCAACGATATTCCCCATGGCGCTTTTATCTGCATTTATGCAGGGAGATTACTTACCGAACAGGTACGAATAATGACACCAATTTCAGTTCTTAGACTTGTCTATCTATTCATTTATTATTTTACACCTGCTTTTTATATTTTATATTATATAGGGCGCAAACGAAGGAGGTAAAAATTACGGTGACGAGTATCTAGCAGAGTTAGATTATGTGGAGGTGGTAGAAGGTTTCAAGGAGGGTTACGAAAGTGATGTTCTCGAACCGGAAATATCAATGTCACCTACAGAAGATGACAATAAGAAAAAAGCTACCGATGTAAGCGACGAGGAAGAGGATAATACAAAGGAAAGCACTAATGACTCGGACGAAGATTTCAATATTGATAGCTATGTGGCTTCTTGTCACAATAATGATTTGTTAGAAACAACCGCAGAATCTTCGTCCATTAGGTAGGTATCCATTGTGTTCTATACTATTAACTTAAGAAACATACTTTATTTTATTTTTAATATTTTTTAAAATATACTTAGCGTGAGATACTACTATGGTTGCACATCTCTTGAGGCTATATTATATATAATTACTAATTCCTTAGTATATTGTCCTATCCTATATTCCTATTGTCCTATTATCCTATTATCCTATTGTTATTGCATGGAATATTTAAGAATCTATTTTTTTTACAATTATTACAACAATTATCTAGACTATCATGTATAAATTTGTATAATGGAGAAAATTACTAAAAGAGCTTTATGATCAGGAAACGTCTAAGGAAACGGAAAAGACACGAAATAGACAGTCAACCAGATATATCTGAAGAAAACAGCGAGGATGAAAGCATTACGAGAGGGTTGGAAAATACAGCAAAATTATCCACTAATGAAAATCAGGATATGATTAATATCAGTGATGATGATGATAGTAGAAATGACGTAAGAAGAGAGCCAAGTAGATTCGAACCTAGTTTAGAACCAAAGCAAATAGAGAGACCGACGTTCAAGTCTGTGAGAGATTATTTCGGTGAAGACGAAGCCGTTTACATTATGGATGCTAAAACGACTGGAAATATCGGCCGTTATTTGAATGTAAGTGACAAAAGATTATAAAGCATTTAATTTACTATTTTTTTTCTATCATTATTAAAAAAAAATGAGCTTTGAATTTTTCAGAATGTTTTAAAACTTCACGAAATTATTTAACATCCTTAATCGTGTGACTTGATATCTTTGACATGAAACGTACATTTATTTTAAAACATTTCATATATAAAAATCACATATAAAAATCATATACAAAATTTGATTTTTTATGAATTATGTAGATATGTCATATTGCTAATTAGTACAATTTCTCTAATTTCAAGTACTTACGAATTATAATGTTTAATATAAATCATTCTTATATACATCAAAATTGTCTTTTTCAGCACTCTTGCGACCCAAATGTATTTGTACAAAATGTGTTTGTCGATACACATGATGTGCGTTTTCCATGGGTGGCTTTCTTCGCATTACAATATATAAAAGCTGGACAAGAGCTTACATGGAATTATAGTTACGACGTGGGAAGTATACCGGGCAAAGTGATCATTTGCAAATGCGGTGCAGCTAATTGTAGAGGCCGTCTTCTGTGAACTGTGCATTTTATGGTAATAAATTTTGTTCTTTGTATAAATAGAATTTGTTTTCTCTAGCAAAGTCGACAATTGATATTACATAATACAGGCATCATATTACAGTCATCATTTATCTTTATCGAAAAAAATTTGATAGAAATAACCAAATATACGAATACATAAAACGTACATTTATTTTAAAACATTTCATATATAAAAATCTGTGACATTTAATTTTTTATGAATTATATAAATGTGTTATGCCTGGTTTATGCTTCGGTCTTAATCCTAAAATCCTAAAATTCAACCAATGGAATACAGATTTTAGTTAGGACCAATTAAGGTCTGGCAGACCTATTGGCTGAATTTTAGGATTTTAGGGTTAAGACCGAAGCATAAACCAGGCATCATATTGTTAATTAGTACAATTTCTTCAATTTTTTATGTAGATATTCAAATGTAATTTTATATATGAAAAAGTATATTTCTCTTTTCCTTTTTCTACCTCCTTTTTGAAATATAATATCGATTGGTTACAGAAAACAAGAGCAGTATTCATAACAATGATGTATTGTATTTGCTTATTACTTTTGATTGTACATTCTTAGCATCCATTGACACGTTATACGTTGTTAGCATTACAAATGTGTACTACTTTTTTTTTATCGCAATTTATACATACATCGTTCAAAATTCAACTCAGTACACAGGTATTTTCCAAGGAATATTTGTAGCACTTTGTTTAAAAGTACAAAGAATCCATCATCGCCACAAAAATATCAAATTCAATATGGAATAATATGCTTTATGACATAAAAATGTATAAAAAGGTTTTCAAGATTTATAAATTAATAACGAACAATATGTATCTTATAGAATAGATTAAAATATTTAGCAAAATTACATTTTGTGTGTGCGCGCGCGTGTGTATCTACACGGGAGGATCCCGTTAGCGTATAATGCAATAGCACACATCCACTCACATTGGCCGGTAACCTTTCACTGCTTTACCATTGAGAATATTTTATTTTAAATTGGCCAGTTAGTGATGTGCACTATCGGAACCCTCCCTGTGCACATGATTGTAAATTTAATGTGATTCTTTAGTAAAGTACCGAAAATTTGAGATGCCTCACCGAGGCTCACCTAAAATCATTAATATCTGCATAATTTAGATAAAATATTAAAATTATGTGTATATCTTAATAAAACAGTATGAAACACACGATAGTATGTAAAAGTGATGAAATAAAAAGAAGTTCTTGTGTAATTTGTTCTTGTGACAATTTTGCATCGTCAAGTTACAATGTACATTGCAAGCGAAGTTTTTATAAAGGAAAGTTTGTAAAAAAAGAAAGTTGAAGAGAAAAGAGAAAACTTATTTCAATTTGCAATGAAATCAAGAGCTGCATCTTCATCAAACGAAAACAAGATGAGGTCATGTTACTCGATATCTTGCCATTTCAACTCTTTTAAATACCTTTTCAGAATGGCCATTAATCTTTTAATTTTTTTTCACCATTACAATCATAATTTTTTAAACTATTATATTATTTTCTTGCTTTTTAGACAAATCTATAGTAGGCAATATAGGTATGTGTGCAGTTACTCAAAGAAACAGTTACTCTGATCCTTATCTGTCACTAAGTTATATACGTTACATTTTCAACATTTTTTCCCTCTCATTTCATCGTTAATCTACTCTAGAATTTTGCATATGTCAAGTTCGTTACTTCGACTTCATTATATAAAGAAATTTAGCATTTCTGTGGTAACTTGATTTACTAAAGAACCACCTTAAACTAAATTAATTTTCGTAACTTGTTTCAGCTACAAAAGAATAATATTTTGTTATGATAAATCTGTTACTTATATGTATATTTAGAACCATGAAGAATTATTGCGAGAAGGATATGAGCTCTTCATTATACTATCTCTCGACATGCAGTATATTATTATTATTATTATAAAACAGCATCCACGTACCTATCTTTATTTAATTTAGAGTGCTTAAATATACGACATATCCTAGTCATCATAGACAAAAAAATCAAAACAAAGCTGATAGAATAGTCTCTCTCTCTATAAGGAGGAACATTAACATACCAAAGTAACAAAATTATAATACCGCATTTTGTTTGGCTTTATGCTAGTGGAGTTTCAGGAGCTGTTTAATCTCATCTTTCTCGGCTGCGTCCAGATAGCTTGTGCCATCTGGCGTTAAACCATCTGGTTTAGCACCTTTTTCCAATAGCAATTTTACGCAGTTCGTATGTCCCTCCCATATCGCCGCCAACAACGTTGTGATTCCATGCTTATCTGTAGCCTGTAAGAAATATACTTATCCGCTGCACTTAATCTGGAGACACGATAGTATCTCGTAATAGACACGGGGTGTTCTAAAACATTCTAAAACGCTCCGGAATATATGTTAAAAACTAAACCTGATAGGAAAAAATATTTCATGGGCTTTTTACAATAAACCATTATCTAAGCTTAAGCCTAGAGACCCTATAGTATAACAGAAATGCGCAAAGTGTCACGTAATCGTAAATATTTCTGTGATTGGATGGAGTCTCTCGTCTCTTAAATGTAGTGCTACCATTTGGTGGATGTAAATTCTGTGCATAAAATATGCAACATTCAATGCAAAGCATGAAATAATAAATAAATATTCACAAAACATTAAATGATGAATTTACTAACTTCATTCTACAGGAGTCGATATTGAGTGTATTGACAGTAAATTTAATATGGCAGCACTACATTTAGACTCCATTCAATCAGAAAAATTACGATCACGTGACACTTTGCACATCTCTGTTATACTATAGGGTCTCTACTTAAGCCATAAGAAATTAACTATAGTCAATTATTCTTCTTACACTCGACCGTGATTGGTCAATTTCTTACGGATTAAGACTTAAAATTTAGGTAATGGCTTGGTATAGAAAGTCCATCAGACAAAAATTATATAATTTAAAGGGGGACAAATAATGATAAAATCAATTTTAAAAAAATCAATTTTTTAAGATTACATATAGATTACCTCTACTTTTTTTTATATAAATGGAATAATTTTTTTTACATATGATTTCTCTAATTATTTTGTATGAAAGTAAGTTTAGGCGATACGCGTATCGATACGCTAAAAATCGTTTGGAAATCACCATTTTGGTAAAAAGAGACGATCTTTTTTTACAAAAAGATTGATTTAAAATAGCTTCAAAGATGATTTGTAATTGCTATTTTGTAAAAAATCGATTTTTTTACGCATTATTACTGTATAAAATTATGGATATGCATATTGATACGCGTATCGCCCATTTCCTACTTTAAGGCAGAGATATCGAAAAATAATAGATATTCTGGCATATATAATAAAATTCCATATTAATTTTTTTATAATCATAGCTGATATTTTTAGAATGCAGAGATTAATGAGATCAATCACTTAGTTTAAAGAAAACATATAGTTACTTAAAAAAAATGTTGCATATTGTAAAATGCATAATTTTTTTTAATGAGCAACTATGTATTTTCTTTAAACTAATTGATCTATCTCATTTTATACATAAAAGTATTAAGGCACAGTTAATAAAAAATGAATAGTTTATGAAATATTTAATTTTTATGTCAACATATATGTGTCAGAATACAGCATAACTCGAAAACTATTGATTTTTGGATAATTCTACCTTAATACTTTTACATGCAGAATAATTAAAGGAATTAAATTATGTAAAAAAATTATATCATCCCATTAAAAAAAGTGGAGGTTACCTCCACTCATTTAAATGAAATGATATAGTTTGATAGGTGACCTCCATGTGACCTTCAAAAGTCAATTTTTCTCGAAAATTGATTTTATCATTATTCGAGGAGCAGACTTTCAAAATGCGTTTTATTCAAAATTTGTAATTTTCAGAAAACGAGAAAGAAAAAACTCTGCACACAAGAAAATTACGCACTTTACAGAAAATAACAATATACCAATCAGTAGGATGTGAAATATTAAACAAAGCTAAACAACTGCTAAAAACGTTAAACAAATGCATTTTGTTTGTCTCTAGTTAAAAAACATAATGCACTTCGAAATGTCTATGTTTTTTCAGCATATAAATTAACGATGAAAAATGCTTTCTGAACATCTCAAAGTAGCTTATAATATGTCTTTCGACACTGAACACTTCGCCATCTCTAACTAAAAAAGTGAAATTTTGGATAAAACGCATTTTGAAAATCTGCTCCTCCATTTGTCCCCTTTCAAATCATACAACTTTTGTCTGAAATATTTTTACTGGATTTAATTTTCGACACATTCTGGTGTTTTGTTTTAGATCCTATATATGTATATCTTGAATTGTGTGTGTAGTTGAGCAAGAAATTATCATCAAAGATAGAAAATTATTTTATGCAACACGATTACATGACATGCTACTATACAGGGTGTTCCCAGGTTAAACCGCTAAACTTAAAATATGAATTTGTATATTTAACAGTAAGAATTTTACTAGACCATACATTTGAAAATTTAACAATAAGAAATAGAAGTAATGGCAGTAATAGTCGAAGCTAGATCTTTAATGCGTAAATAATTCAATCTGAATTACAATATATGTATACTGTATGTGTACTTGCATATAAATCATATTTGTAGTCATTCGAACTGCACGCCGAATTGGTTTTCCGAACTTATAAACACAATTAAACTACTGTAGTACAGACAGACAAGCAATTTTAATAACCTGATGCTTAATCAGGCATCCTATTAAAAAGATGTTAATGTTGCTGAAAAACTGTAAATAAATTTATTGCGAAAAATATTACCTCGGCCTGGAGTCGAACTCAGATCTCTTGTATTCCGTACGATCGTCCCAAGCCTTTAGGTTACCCTATCAAGCTTTAGTAATATTCTTCGCAATAATCGGTATATGTAAAGAAACAACTTTTTTTCAGGCGACGTAATATAAACAATAAGAATCTCATTTTTTGACCGAACATGTGAGAACACAATCAAATTCAAAAACCAAATTCGGCGCGCAGTTTGAAAGACTACAAATATGGTATATATGCGAGTTATAGCATATATATAATTTACATTAAAAATTATTTCAAGCATTAAAAGATCTAGCTCCGACCGGTATAGGCTTCTGGTTTATCGATTGTATTCATTTCATTTTCTAATGAAGAGTTTCTGTCAAATTGAGGCATTTGATTTGAGGATGTCAAACCACAAAGTGATATACTTTAGAACTTTAAACAAAATTTTTCCATCCTTAAAAACGTTTTATAATACAATTAAATGCAACTTTTAAAGATTCTGTAGGAGGTCCTGGGAAAATTCCAACTGGATCTTGTTCTGACCTACAATTTGAGGGGAATAACGATCCATTTGAACGCTTGGAACCTCGTTAAAATCGATTTTGAACTCGAAATTTGGTCATTTTTTCACATTAATCGGGCTGTATTTCTTAAGACGTATATCGTAGAGCTAAATGAATTTATTACATCGTGTTCAGCGATCAAAATAACATATTTAAAATCCGGATTAAGCCATTTTTGCATCAAATCACACGTGTATTAAGGAAAATCGAAACTTTAATTTAAAAATCGTTCACTAACGACCTTTAAATCTTAATATTTTTTGATAAAAATTTAGGGGTGTTCTTTTGGCATGAAATGAAAGCTTTTGAGCTGAGAGGCCAATTAAAAAAAAATATTTTTTTCCTTGTCAGTCATACATAGGTATGTCACATACAATGAAATTAAATAAATAACTTGCGCGTAACGCGCGCATGTATTGTCTAATTTTTTAAATTTATATTTTTTAAGGATGTGTCAATTTCATAATCTTACCCCCATATGTGGGTAAGATGACTTTTAATAATGAGTAAGATGACGAAAAGTCAATTTTAATTAAGAATATACTTTTTATGAACAAAAAAAGATTTATTGTAACACGTTTATATATTTCAATATATTACGAGTTTTAAAGAAAAATTGAATAAAATAAAATATTTTTAAAATTTATAAATTTTAATAAAAATACACCGAATTGATGTTTTCACGTAAAAATAAAAATTTGAAAAAAAAAAAAAAAAAAAAAAAGTATCACTTTGCCCTATGAACCAAGATATTAATCATCGTCTTTAGCGATTAATATCTCGTATTTCCTGTCACAGCAGTGGTTCACTTAACGAATTCATTGCTTTAGCAGAGAATTTGTGTTTTTAAAGCAATGAACCACTGTGAGATTTCCTAACCTGAATAGTATGACACACAACTTTTCTTACATATTTAATAATATGATACTTTATTTAAAAAATGATGAACTTCATGAATTGTATATAATAATTGTATATAATAAAATTTACTTACAAGTGATCAATATCAACGAATTAATTATTAATTTTTAACTATTTGAGTCACATATGAGTTTGGTACAGTCAAGTTTGGATAGTACGTACAACACTACCATAACCTACAATCTACATGCACGAGAGCGTCATCTTACCCACGCACAATATTCGTCATCTTATCCACGGTTATCATATATTTTTATTTAATTAATAAAACTATTGCAATGTGAAAAATAAAAAATATTAATTCGTTATTTTATTCGCTTTTAGCTACAGAAGATCGTGATTTTATTTAAAAAACGAGAATATTTGCTATAACTATGTCATTCCTTATATACAAATACTACAAAATTACATGCGAGTGCATCAAAAACGATTTCTTAATATAGTACTACTTTTGTGGTTGGATTGAATTCACAAACTCTAATAGATTATGTATTATTATCTAAAGTCTTTAATGAGTTAAACATCTGTTCCTCATTTATTATTAACTTAAAAAAATTAACGATTCGTCATCTTACCTCCCTCTCCCTACATATATAATATGTATAGTAATACATATTGAATTATTTAAGCATTAAAGATCTAGCTTTGACCGTTACGGCCATTGCTTCTATTTCTTATTATAATTTAACTCAATACAACGTTATTCATTATATACTCTTGCTTTTTCAAGTATTACAATTAATTGCTAATTATTATATCCTTGGTTATTACTAACATTGGCATTTGCTCCTTTCTCCAATAAATATCTGACAACTTCGCTTTGACCATAATCTGCTGCGTAATGTAGTGGCGTTCTTCCATCGATCATTTGATTTACATCAATGTTCTAAAAATGATAACAATGACAATTAGACAGTGAAGGAATCAAAGTAAACCAAAGTAAATTAACATTGAAATAATAATAACTATAGTATACACATATAGTAAAATGCTATAGTAAAAAATATTGTAAAAAAATTTGTATATATTTGTAAATAGTTTTACTATTTAAATAAGAATATTCAAATAGCTAGACCATTATGCTGAATACCTTATATATCTTATATAATGCTTTATACACTTAGGCCGGAATCAAACTACGCATTGAAGATTGAGATTAAAGATTGAAAAATTCAAATTTGACCAATCGAAACGAAAGGAGCTAAAATTTCATTGTCCTTATTGGTCAAATTTCAATCTTCAATCTTCAACCTCAATCTTCAATGCGTAGTCTGATTCCGGCCTTACACCTATTCCAATTTTTAAATTGCTCGTTCCTGGAGACAAAATACGTTCAACAAGAGAAATATTCAAACAAAAGAGTAAAAAGAACTTGTTGGTGATAGATATTAGATATGTTCCATTGCACGCATAATGCACATAGACTACATAGAGAACCATTCCGTTTCAATCAATGTGCGCATCAATGAATACCGATAGCGCACATATTTCCCTAGATTCTCCCCACTTCTCATGCACCAACTACAGCAGCTCGAACGTGAAGCGTTTAATGCGAAGTTGATGCGTCTAGAAAAAATTCAAAAGCCTGTTGCTGCCTTTTGCTCGGATTTATAGTGTAGTAATAATGGAAAATGATTTAATCGAATTTCCAGTCATCATTGACGAGAGTAACGAAGTTCTCACCTTCTTTATCAACCAAGAAACTTATGAGAGCTACTCAAGATATATATTAAAATATATACAATCTTATATCGAATGTAATAATCTCAACAGTAAATATCTTAGGCTGTTTTACAACTCACAGTTGACTCTTAATCGAGATTCAACTTATTTCTCATCTCTTTCGAATTCTAGCATTAGACCTCGGTTAAGAGTTAACCATGAATTGTGAAACTGGGCCTTATGCCTGTTTCTATTAGTGTAGATTAATTTTAATCTTAGTTTAACTTACTTTTTATCGTTTTCTAGTTCTAAGAATTAGAAAAAGATAAAGAATAAATTATACCAAAATTAAAGTTAATCTACATTGGTAGAAATGAACATTATTGTCGTCCATGGTAGCATCCATTTTTTATTTGCATCAAGCGCATGGTAAACCGTTCCGTTTCCAAGCGTGCATCATGCGCATTAATGAAACGGAACGATATTAATGTGCGCAGCACATTGAATGTGATCTATGCACTCAATGCGTGCAACGGAACGCACCCATTAGGCCTGTTCTTTTTGGCTGAACTTTTGCACCAGTTCATCTTTCTTCCTCTTCTTTCCTCCTGGAGAGAAAAGGAAGGAAGATGAACTGGTGCAAAAGTTCATCCAAAAAGAGCAGGCCTATTGGAGAAATGTGCGAGGGTGACACAATCATTTAGGTACTTATAAATACTTCCGCTATCAAACGCGCATTTATCTACCAATTATTCTCGACACACTTCCGGTGTATAATATATTTCATATACGTAACAGTCTAGAAAGACAGCGTATGTTGTGTGTATTAATCATCGCGCAGTCGAAATATGTATGCGTTTTTCGAAACATCTCTAAAAATTAAACATTTCACATCATCACATTTACCTTGTTCTCGACGATGTCTCGTACTTGCTCGAGATCACCGTTTTTTATGCCCCAAACGAGCTCGCTCATTTTTCTCGACGCTGTCGCTCCTGTGGATTTACACGACAAACGACGGTTATATCCACACTACCACACACTGCGTACGTCTACTTTTTTTTTTCTACCACTCTCTTATCCGTTGCGTAACTCAATCATTCGTTCATGAAATTCAACGAAACTTCGGAATTTGATTGCTATCGACAGTAAATTCAAGTAAATTCAGACTGACAAATCTCATATATACCATGGCGGAAGGATTACATGGTGTGCGCAGTTCGACCACAGACTTACTTCTATTATAACACTAGACTAGAGTAGAGTCCTATATGTGAGAGAAGCGACATCGGCGCCGCGATTTCTGATTGGTGATACCCCCATTTAATTAAAACAGCCATATTGAGCCCGCAGTGGAAAGCTATACACATAGCATATAAGATAGACCCAGCACTCATACATTTTTCTATATATGCTATATAGTATATGCTGAGTTTGGCAGAACGGTGCGAGAGGCAAAATATCGGGGCAACCTATCCTTCTCTGTGCGCACATCTTGACATTTATTATATAATGGCTGCGTTCAGCAGAACGTTTGTTTTGCAACTGTTGGAAGTTTCCTTCGCGCTGATTGGATCATACTTTTAGATCTAGAAGAATGGTCCTATCTCAGCAGACAATCATAAAACGGTTGCAAAACTGTTGAGTCTGCTGAACGCAACCATTCTGAGCTCTTGCATCTGATTGGCATATTCCGTTAGAACTAAAAATATAGACCAAACAGATACAAGAGCTCACTGAGCGCTCAGTGAGCGGTCGTGGTACTAAATGCACTCAATCTATTTGATTACAATACTTCATCGTTGGATCGCAGATGTCGCATCTATCAGACTAGAGACCCTCTAATCAGAATCGCGACATCAGACAGTCAGTTTTGATTGGTCTGCCATTTTTCAGTAGTTTCCGCCTATATTCGAATGTCTATATTGGCTGTGTTCCAAACACAGTCTATACTGACTGCCAGTACTGAAAATCTATAGTGCACGTAACATAAACTGTAGCATTTTCGGTGCTGGCAGTAAATTTGGAACACAGCCATTGTAGGAATGGGCGATGCGCGTATCGACACGCTAAAATTCGTTTGCAAATTAACCTATTTTGCGAAAAATCAATTTTTCCAAACAAGATGGTGCCAATGGTCACGTTCAGCAGACTCAACTGTTGTGCAGCGGATCTATGAGCGCTCGCTGCTATTGGTGTATTCTTTTAGATCATCCAATAGCAGCGAAAGTTCACTAATCTGCTCCGCCACAGTTGAATCTGCTGAACGCGACCATTTTAAACCGATACCTTTACAAAGAATCGTTTCTTTTTTTAACAAGGATAAAAACTCCGTCTCTACTTCGAATCGATTTTTAGTGTTCCGATACGGATATCACCCATTCAAAGTATATACATTTGTATTATTGTTAAAATCAAACAAAACAAGATTAAACATTTTAAAGTTTAAATATTACTAAATAGATTTCTCACATTATATGGGGAAGTAATGCTTACTAAAAAAAATTGTTTTATCTTTTTTTTTTATCAAAGCATAAATTATGCATTTTTATCAGAGATATGCATTTTTCGTTGGTGTCCAATTTTTCCCAACATTTGTTGCCTATAATGTTCGACGTTTAGCATCACACAGAAATATTTTCATTACATAGCCTTTCGCTGCAGAATTAGTGCAAAATGGGGCTGCACACCCAACCATTTTGCAATTATTTTTATTAATCTTCTAATAAGTCGTACTAATCTTCAAGAGCAGAAAGATGTATCACGACTCACGAGAAACTATCAAGGTTAGAAAGAGACACGACGTATTCCTTTCTCTTTCGTGTGATTTTGCTGACACTAGAGGCCCTTAGGGAATGAGAACGTGAAGAGAGTCTCTAACTAGAGTCTCTTTCTCGTGTCGCGACTCTAATTAGAGGATCTCTGTATCAGACTATCAGAGAATACTTATAAATTTTTATTACACGTAGCAAATCCATCCTTGGATTCATCATAATGATTCCAGGACCGTTTCAGCATTTTGTAAATGACAGCAAATATTTAAGCAAACGATTTATTATTGATACTTATGTAGGAACTCTTGCCTTATTGTTCAAGATCTCGAGAGTGACTGACTGGTTTGTGATTTTGATACACTCACAATATATTTAAACTTATCTGTGCAGTGTTTACGAAATACCGAAACGACCCTGGGTATGGGATTATTGTGATGAATCCGAGGATGGATTTGTTACTTATAAGCACTGTACTGAATGATTCAAGACACACCTAAAGAAAAATTATATTAAATTAAAAAAATCGTTTTTCTTTCAATGATTTTTTTAAGTTAAAATGAAAATACCTTTGAAAAAAATAAAAATTTACTTGATTTCAAGAAATGACGTTCAAACTAAAGAAAAATTTATTGGATTTCAAGAAATGACGTTCAAATCAAAGAAACTTTTCTTTAACCATATAGAAAGTTCAAATTTCTTCAATTAAAATAAATTTTTTTTAATCGGAAAAATCGAAAATTATCAAGACTTATCAAGACCTATCAAGACTTATCAAGATTTTTAAGAGTGTACATTTTCGAATAATATTCGAAATGTTTCGAAGCAAAGCAGTGACTAAATTGATTGAAAATTCGCAAGAGATATGATTGAATACTCATCACTAGTTATATGTAGTACTATTATCTTATAAAATACAAAAGACGTTTATTGGAGGGAATTGATGATATTAACAATGTCACGAAATTCGATGATATTAGCAGTTCACTCTGTTTTCCTTCCCCCATTTCCGCATAACGCGTATTATCTGTTCTACTTGAGAATTGGATGTATTTTTAAGAATCTGTATCACTTCCGATAGCAGTTCTCTGTGTAATGAAAAAGAAAATTTACAAATTAATCTTCGCTACAGTGATTTTATACAAATGTACGATATGTAAAACATACTTTGGTAACTTCGCCGCGATAATATACTGAAAAGTACCACAACATGCGCCTCGCTTTCCTTCCCAATGTTCAGGACTTGGATCCATTCGCTCCAACATATCGAAGGCTTTAGCAGCATACCAGAATTCGCCTACTTTGTAACACGCGTTAGCAATCAATTGAAGCAAATTGAAAGACTCCGCTGATGTCTCCATCTTCAAATATAGTTCCCAAGCCAATTCAGCCTTTTCATTCATTATGTCTAAGAGTAGAAAAGGCAAACAATTGTAAGTAATATCATTACTATGATAATGTATTTGACAAAAGTTGTAACAAAATATCAGGAGACATGGATTCATATGTACGTGACTGGACAAAACTTCCGGTTGTAAAAATTATTATTTTAAATCGTTTGTATTTCGTATGCAGTATTTTTGTTTTTCTATAAGCAGAGATATTGTTATTACTTACAGCAATATGATAGAAGACTGATGTAAATGTAATCGTTTTTATATTTTTCGTTACGTATTATCAGAAAAGCTTCCTCTGCTTCTTTGAAGTAGCCTGCCCCAACTTGTGCTTGAGCATAGTTAAAGTTAAAATTATCTTGATTAGAGAAATATGTCTTTATCGAATTCAGATATAATCTGACACGGTCGAATTGTCGGTAAAGGAAGAAGAAGGAGGCCATGCATTGTCTACCAGGTATGGTATCACACTCCGATGCTGAAGAACCCACTAGTTGAAAGTATTGCTGTGCAGTTTTTATACTATCACGCTAAACAAATTTAGTAATTCAGAAATTTTTCAATAATGCTAAAAGATAAGTAGTTTAATGACATACAGAATTAGCTTCCTGACCCATAACAGCGTTAACTATACCCTTTAAAATATATTCTTGTGGAACTGCTGGTTCTAGATCTTTAATCAGGTCATAGGCTGCCTTGACATCATCTTGTTTCAAATAATATATTACTAAATTAAGCCTGGCTTCTGGTATAACGTCTACCAAATTGGGTAAAATTTGCAAAGCGTTTTCACCACCTCTAAAGACCTACGTGAAGAGAGAATAAGAGTATGAGAAGTAAAACATTAAAGTAACTCCAGTATATACGCCATACCTACTAAAAACTTAATTTATCAAGTATTATTTACTATAGGGAGTTATTTACTTTAGGATAAAATAAACTATATTATTATTCATTTATACAGAGTAGTATTATTTATTTTAGGGCAAATAAACTATATCAGTATCCTGATTTTGTAACTCTTAAAGTATTGATATCATTATATTGTCGTTCCGCAGATATTATATGTGATAAAAAAAGTTGTGCCACAACATAACAATATCAAATTGTCGTTAAGGGTTACAGAATAAAAACTTTGTATTGTCCACTATTATGAAAAAAAAAATTAGAAATCCGAAATACTTATTTTTTGTGTAAAAAAAAATTATTGCATTTATTACACCAAATCCAATCTGTGAACTTTGTACATTTGAAAATCCGCCCACTAAAGATGCCATATATCCCCTCTCAAACAAATAGGATATAAAAGATATCAAGCCGAACAAAAAATATAAGAGATAAGCACTTGTATTTTACTATACTTGATTCTTTACTATCCTTCTATACTGACGCATCATCAAATAACTATTAAGCCTTCTTTGCAATTCCTATAGTAATTATTTTATATAGGTTATGCATGATTGCATTACTCACTACATTGACAAATCGATTCAACAGTAATTTTATTGATATTAACAATATAAAAAACTGAAATTATAACACAATACTAATACAACATAAAATTATCCCCACTCCTATTTTTTCTGACTTCTGACATAAATCCCTCCCATGCGGCGTAAATACTGGAATTACCTACAAGCAGATACACATACAACTGTATTATGTCGTATAAGATCATGGCCAGAACTAAAGGAACTTGATATCTTCTCAACGAGTTGCTTCATCTCGACCTGTGCAGCATTTCCATCATACAAGCGAAAATGATTACACGCTTTCAAATTAATTGCGATTGTACTATCTGGATATTTCTGCAGGTAAACTTGAAGCACTTCTTGAGCTACATCATAGTAATCCAGCTTGTAATAGCACAAAGCTACATATACATTTAAAGCTAGATAATCTCTGAAAAAAATTGTAAAATCTACTTAATTTAAATGAAAACTATTCGATGCATTAAATCATTTTGATCTTGTGACAACAAATTGAAGCTGATGTAGGAATGACTTGAGGAAAAGAAATAAAAGAACAGATACCTGGAATTGTCTTGCAGTTGGATAAGGAAATACAACTCAGAATCTGCTCTAGAGTCGCATCTCTTGGTGCTTTTCTTTAAACTTGCATGAATATACAAAAAGGTGCAAGGTAAAAAATGTCATTGCCAAAAATTATACAAAAATATCCTTATAAAGGTTCTGTTGTATCAAAAAGATGCAAAAGAGATATTCCAACCTGTTATCCAATAAAATTTTTTTATAGACATCGATAGCTTCTTGATAATGAGCTTGCAAGTAGTGAATGGACGCTAAACTGAGCTGATCCTCGATAATATCTTGCAGCATTTGATGATACTCCATTAATTTGGATTCGTTGCCCATCTTGTGGGCCAGGTGAAACAACAATCTGGTTCGCAGTTTACTGTTTTCTGCCTCTTCCAGGATCTTTTGTGACTCAGAGTACATGCCTAAATAGAAGTAGCAGCACGCTAGATTCGTTGAAATATCCGAAGGTACGTAATCCTTGTTCCTCAAGTTTTCATAGATCGTTGCTGCACGTTTGTAATCGCCTAAATGAAACGCGCAATATCCCATCCACAAGTCCATTTCCAAACTGCCGCTGGTGGTATTATTGAATTCCAATAATGTCAAGGCGCCAGTGTAATCTCGTTTCTCCAAAAACTCGTCCAGCTTCGGTATCTCCTTGTGCGAAACTGACGTTCGAACACCTTCCGATGAGGCCGGCTTGGCCCTCGACAAAATCTATCAAATAGCAAATAATATGTCAATGCTCGCGTAACATATCATTTTCCTATGACTTTTATGATATTCACGAAATTAGAGAAGTGTATAAAAAAGATATTATTTACCATTTTCTCACCGTTTCTATCATTCGGCGCAAGTTGGCGCAAGTATGCGGCAGTGTGCGGCTGTAATCTATAAACCTTTATGGCTCCTGCACACTGGACGCGGAAAAGCTTGCCGCGCGGCAAAATGTGACGTGTAACCAATAAGCTTACAGCTCCTAACATGTTCATTGGTTACCGCGTCGCATTTTGTCGCGCGGTAAGTTTTTCCGCGCCCAGTGTGGAAGAACCATTAGGGTACCATTGCATGAGCGCGGAAACGCGGAAATGCGGAAACGCGTAACCAATCAGAAGCGATCCGCTGTTATGGTTTCGCGTTTTACCGATTACTGATTGATTGCGCGTCCAGTGTGCAGGAACCACAAGCGTCGTCTACAATATGCTTGGTTTAAGAAGAGTAAGAAATTGACCAATCACAGACGATTATTCTTCCCATATTCGGCTGTGATTGATCAATTTCTTAGGGCGCGTTTACACCTTGACGGAATAGCAGAAAGCGGAAGAGCAGTGGCCAATCACAACTCGCGCTGGTAGTAAGTAATACAAAAAGCCGAAATTGTCGAATACCAGCGCGAGTTCTGATTGGCTGCTGCTTTTCCACTTTCTGCTTTTCCGTCAAGGTGTGAACGCGCCCTTACTCTTAGGACGGAATCAATAGTCCGGTCTGATGGTTCCTGCACATTGAACATGTTTATTGGTTACCGCGTCGCATTTTGTCGCGCGGCAAGCTTTTCCGCGTCTAGTGTGCAGGGGGTCGATTGTGTATCTCGAAATAAGGTGAAAATTACAAAAGTGAGCAAATTCACTAGAATATTCATTATTTAATTGGTCAATAACTAGTGAATTTGCTCATTTTTGAAACCTGGAGTCATTAAGCTTGATTTATAATGGCCGTAACCGTTAACTTATGCCGGTGCCGGTAAAGTTCAACCATAGGATTTCAATGCTTTCAAGCAATGGGTGCATTCAGTACTACAATCGCTCACTGAGCGCTCAGTGAGCTCTTGAATCTGTTTGGTCTATATTTTTAGTTCTAACGGAATATGCCAATCAGATGCAAGAACTCATTGAGCGCTCAGTGAGTAGTTGTAGTACTCAATGGGTGCATTCAGTACTACAATCGCTCACTGAGCGCTCAGTGAGCGGTCGTCGCTTCTGAATGCACCCATTGAGTACTACAACTACTCACTGAGCGCTCAGTGAGCGGTCGTCGCTTCTGAATGCACCCATTGAGTACTACAACTACTCACTGAGCGCTCAGTGAGCGGTCGTCGCTTCTGAATGCACCCATTGAGTACTACAACTACTCACTGAGCGCTCAGTGAGCGGTCGTCGCTTCTGAATGCACCCATTGAGTACTACAACTACTCACTGAGCGCTCAGTGAGTAGTTGTAGTACTCAATGGGTGCATTCAGAAGCGACGATCGCTCACTGAGTAAAAAAGGGATTAGGCTACCTTCCCATGGAGAAAGAAACCACGGAACGGAATATTAACAGAAAAGAAATAGGATGAGTATAACCCTCATCCTATCTCTTTTCTGTCAATATTCCGTTCCGTTGTTCCTTTCTCCATGGGAAGGTAGCCTTAATCTATGATTAATATGTTTATTTATTATAATTCGTAGAATAACTTGTCTATTATAGATAATTTTTTATATCATATTTCTTACTTATTTATTACTGTTTATTATTTCTCTAATGCCGTATTTTGGGCCGTAAGGTTATGTAGCGCTCAGCGAGCGGTGAAGCGTAATTATAAGTTGTTTCACCGACTTTACGCAAGGAGTTGAATGGGATTTAAAAGAATTCATTTTGGTCAAAAATTAATTCTTTTTATACAAATTGAATAACGGCTTTTCGACGAAATCAAACTTAATTTGGGAAAGGAGCATAAAAACCTATGCCAGTTATTATAGCGAAATTATAATTTATTAATTCATTAAGACAGTGGTAATATTCAGCATCCGATGCCTAGTACTACCGACTAGAAGTGATCTACATTTGCGATATGCGGAAATCATCTTACAAAAATTCGTCGAGTGTGCGAAAATTTGTATGGACCATTTTTTTTATCGTACAACATATACGGACTACTTCATGATGCGAAAAATTTTGGTCCTCTTGATAATTTCTCAGTATTTCCTTATGAAAACAATATGAAGCCTCATAAGTAGACTACAGAAAACCAACCGCTGCAGCAAATTACACTTAGGTTAATGGAACAAGAAAATTCATATGTACAAATTCGCGCTTCCAAAGTATCGTCCAATAGATGTCTTCAACAGCACTGACTGATGTCTTCAAAGATCCTGTTCTTACAGAATTTTCCTGCAACTGTATGCAATATCGCTCGATTAAAAGTGATTCGTTGTATCTTAATATTGTGAAACGTAATAATTGCTATATGTTGCGTGATTCATCAATTTATATAGTTTATTAACATATTGTAACAGAAAATTCAATTAACTTCCTAATTGTTCGAAAATTCTGTAAGATTGAATCATTTTATGATGTAAGTTTATCTTCAGAATTTTTAGAATTTTTTAAATGTTCATTAATCTCCACGGAATGCTCACATGTTCGTTTCTCTGAAGTATATAAAAAATGTTATCTGATGCCTTTACAAAGAAATCATGATCATGAAGATCAGTTGGAAGACAGTGTCTTTAATGTATGTTACAATTGCGTATTCATTGTAGCTACTATTTTGTAAATTTCGCTTTAATTTGTTACGAACATATTATTGTATACTTTTTTAAATTTAAAACCATTTTGTCTTTCACATGTAGAATATTCTGTTTATTCTTACACTTTTGTCTTTTTCTTTTCATTGTTATTTTCAAGTTAAACTCGTCAATGGATAGCAAGCGACCTAAAAGGAAAATTACGAAGCCAAAGCGATATAAAACAACATCCTCGGATACATAACGAATACGATGAATTCTTGTACAGCTTATTTACTAAAACTAGGAATTTGTGATATATGTATTATTAAAATAATACTTTATTATTTTTTAAATATAAAATAGATATATATTTAAACTATAGTACATACACTCATGTTTTTAATATAATATCAATAATATAATAATAGTAATAATAATTTTTTTTAACAAACACAATCACGATGAATTATAAAAAACATCATAGTCAATGGCAATATTTCTCATACGCTTCCATCTTCAAATAATCTAAAAATGTGAATTATTTCTGAAAAACTGCAAGTATCTTAAAGCGCTTCAATCACTTGATACAGTTTATCATAAATATTCCTGATGGATGACTGCTAGTTTTAGAATAAAAAGGAGATGCAAAAGAAAAAAGAAGATACTAGTTCTTCTGAACATTAATATCCTGGTAAATTGAGCAGACAGGAGTAAATACTCTGACATTTAAACATTCAGTGTAACAATGTCATGACAGGCAATGTAAAAACGCAAATCTTTTCATCAATCTCTTGAATCGGACTGGGCAGACAAATCTATTAATTCAAATTCGATTACGGATACGTGTAAGCTGAAAAGAAATCTAACTAAAGAGTTGTCGAAGGAGTTTAAATTAATGTGCTCATATATATAGAAGTGTTCAACCTGCGGCCCGTGAATTTTTTTATGGACCATCATCTCATAGTCGAACATATAAAATCTAAAATATTTTTTATCACTATACTTTTAAAGCTTGTTTTTGCAATATAATAATATAGTAAAAAAGAAGAAGTCTAATACGATCAATTAAAGGGCATCCTAAAGTCGTCTATTGTTTTACCTATAATATATTATTTTTAAATAAATGTTTTTCTAACCTTTACAGATTTAAAAATCCTTTTTCTCACAATTAATGTATAAACACAATAATGTAGTCCAAACTAACTGATATGCCAAAAATGAAAAAAAGTTGGTGAATTATAGTTTTGTTATCGACTTCTAGCGTCGACTCGTAACAATAGATATTTAATTATTTTATTGTATATACATATAATCTGGTGGAAGTTTTACGAAAAACTACATAGATTGAGATAAGATCTTAGAAATTATTAGTTTTTTTTATAGATATTCGTAGTGGGACATAAAGCGACGTTGTTTCTTTGAAAAACCCCCTGGTGAAAATTTTTCTCAGAATTTTTACGAATTCTACGAATTGGAACATTTTTCAGAAATACTCCGAAATATTCAGAAAGTTTATATTTTCTCTCAGAATTTTTCATACAAGTGAATTCTGAAATATTTTGAAATTTCTCATCCTAATTTTAAAAAAATATTTATATTTTTTTAGATTTTATAACATTTCATCAGAAATTATACTTACAAAAAATCTTAGAAATTTCTTACGATATTTCATAATTAACATATATATGAAAAATTTTGAAAAAAGGTTTGAATTTTCTGAGAAGTGTTCTAATTCGTATAAAAAATGTGAGAAAGTGATAAAATTATATTGAAATTCTGAAGAATTGTATAAAAAATTCAAAGAAAAATTTTCACCAGGGCCCAGAAATTCTCCGCCCTCAAACAACGCCACTCGACGTCTCACTATGAATATCTACGAAAAACTAAGAATCTGTAAGATAAATAAACCTCACTCTACGTTCCACTACGAATATTTATGAAAAATTAAGAATTTCTAAGATTTTGTCTCAACTATGTACTTTTTCGTAAAAATTTTTTTCCGCCAGGGTTGAGTTTTCTATTTTGTACGTATTATAAAATAAAAATCTTGGTTTAGACTAGGGATTATATGAATAATGTTGAGTTCTTAAAATTAGATTTATAGATATTTAGTATTAGTTGGAAAGATTAGTTGGAAAATTTGTACGTATGTGTGCACATGCGATATTGATATAGTAATATGTAGTGATGTGTCAATAATCTCTCTTTGTTTCACGACATGCTTAATTGGGTTTAATAACATCTGTACCCAGGTAGCAAAGTTCGTCATTTTGACATCAAATTCAAGTCATGTTTGTACAAATGACGTCAAGTGACCAAAAAGTGACCATAGGTTTTATTCGACGTCATTTTTGTAACGTCATTCCGAGACGTCATATTGACG